TGACCCAGCATGCGAAGCACGGTCAACTAAAAACAGGGTTTGGGACATGACGTCCACTCTGACTTTTCTATTACTCCTGGCTATCCACTGTTAACCTGCCTCACTACTCTTCTTTTTCTTTCCTTTACTCGACCACATCCGTCTTTCAAGTAGACTGGGACCCTGTCATACTTCCTTCCTCTAAAACCATCTCCTCTTGGTTACTAGAGAGAACACCTCTGCATCAACCCGTTGTGGATTTCCCGTTTGAACACCTGAACATTTCCAAGGAGAATTTTTTTAAAAAAAAAATAAAACGGTACGGCGGTGTAACTTGGTAAAGGTACTTGGTTAACAACCTCGATACCAGCGCGTGCCGAGCAGCGTCACATGTGGTAGCTGTTCCACAGGGAGCCCTCGGTTTTGTCGCGGCACCATAAGCTTTTAACCAGGCAACTATTACCAACTTACACGCCATGAAGGCAGTGGGGTCATAGACCACAGAATAAGGGGAGTATTGCAATAGAAAATTCAAACAACAAGGGTTCCTTTCACAACAAGGGACAAGGAATTCAAATCCAACGGCGGATTTGGTTTAAAGAGATTCAAGTGTTCTGTTGGGACATCCACAATTAGTCGATATAGTGTCCAAATTTATCCAATCACGGCTAATCTGCTGACATCCGAATGTCAACTTCTCTTGTAACCCGCCTCATATCACCCATGCAAACTCTTAAGCACATCTAACAAACTTAAGGTAGATGAACGCAATAAACACATCGAAATAAATAAAATGCATGTTCCAACGGTCTTACATGGGTCCAACGTTTAGGCATTCAGACTCCCATGCATGACACAGCATTCACCTACGGTCGAACGAGCTCAACAACTATGGACGACAACAACGGCAAGAATACAATACCGGAGGACAGTGACGAAAAACACTACTACTACGGGTACAGCATCACAAGGCAACTAATCTACATCTTCTCATGGCAATGGTTGAGTGAGAGGAATCAAGGCTCGACTTCTGACACTTCCGAGGGTGCAGGTGCTGGTGGTGCTGCAACACCAGTCCTTCTTCTTTCTAGCGAGTGGATAGGGATCCCTTCCAAGATCGGGGCATCCTGCCTTTCAGCAGCCAACGTCCTCCGTTCGGCCCTGGTGACAAGATAGGCCACCCGCAGCTGATGGACATGCCGATCTTCGACCTCCTTTAGAGTTTCCTCCATGACAACCTCTCGGCTCTCAGCAGCTGCAGCGCTGGCATGCGCTTCAGCGAGCTGCACCTGGAGCATCCGGTTGAAGACCTCGGCTTCCTCGGCGCGCCGAAGGCACGCCCTCAGCTCCAAGGCTTGACGGTCATACTGCTCATCCAGAGCGAGCAGGTACGTGGTCAAGTGCACCATGGTGGGACTGTCCTCTTGCACATCTCGCCCTTGCAAAGCCTCCATGCGGGCCCTCCATGCCCGCCGATTCTTGTCCAAAGGAGGAAAGAACTGCATGGGGGTACGGGCAATGGGCTCCTCATAGATCTGGCAGAGGTACCGCAAGGCTGTACGGGTCACAACCTGGTAGGTGTCGACGAAGCGAAACCCGGTCGCGGTCACACTCCAGGCTTCAGTGAGGTCGGGGAACTCCTCACTCTTCCCGATGTAGACGGTAACCTCACATCGCTCGGTGCCATGCTCCTCATACTCACGGCCCTCATACTCGGGGCGATCATTGACTCCGAGCTTTTGTAGGGTGGCATGCAGGATTCTAGGAAAACCCTCAACGTTCATGCAGTAGGTACTAACCCAGGCTCCTGCCATCTTTGGCGGTGGTTGCAAGGAAGGCTGAGCGAAAAGCTAGCTCAAGGAAACGCTAAGCGAGCTAAAGTGCGCCGAGTGGTGGTACCAATGGCTAAGCCAGGCTCTACTTATAAAGGCGGAGCGTTCAGTGGTCCTGGCGCGGTTCACCAAGGTTCCCGCGCGAGATCACTATGGCGGATCGACCAAATTCCATGCGTTCGAGGCGAACGACGTGCGATGCCATTACTGACTAGTACGACTGCAGGGCAAGGGTCCGACAAGAGCACAGAAAAGGGGTACGGGGAGATGTGGGTCACGACCGGCGCGAACCACGGGCGAACGCGAAACACGAAGCCATAGAGCAGACCTAACTCTAGAATAGGAACGAGTCAGACGTGCACAATACGACACGCGTGACACCTAAGGATGGCGTATCTAAAAGCAATACGGATGCTACAAAGCACAAACCTGATATGCATGAATGCACGTCCTATACGTCCTTTTACTATTGCCAACATATAGGGCAACCGTTCTCAAATTTCTGGCACAACGTTCTCTCCCTGTAACTAGTCGATACTATCGAACTATGCTCGAGTCAGTGTACCTGCAGAAACTTGATTAATCCTATCTAGGTCAGCAGAGTGCCATCTATCCTGGATACATAACCATAGTAATAGGGCTACTTTTATAACTTCGCATACAAACGTCCTAACTTTTTACAACAATGGGTTGTCAAATTTTAGTTTAGAAAAGGTTTTCGAAGCTTTATTTCCTCATTTATGCTCTGATACCACCTGTGGCAGAACCGCCTAATCTAATGCCTCACAGGAGTGCTTGTCTTCCATTAGACACTAAGCACTCGAGGGAGAACACTAAATTACTCGGTTCCGTCGGGCACACCCCAGGGGAGAACCCGAAAATCCACATTTTTGCCATCAGGATCACAAATGAGAGAATAAAGCTTACATCATTCGTAACCATTTCTTATATCACTTTTAATACAACATCAGAGTATAATATTTATTAATATGACCGCGGAATGAAATCATATTATCAGAGTTATAAACAATTTACTTGAACAGCGGAATAGAAATATGTGAATAGAGTTACAGCGGAAATAAATATCTAAACATGACATGAGGAAGTATCGCTATATATAGACTACGGCAACGGATTATGAAACTTTCATTTATAAAAGTATTTGGTGAGAGTTATAAATAACAACTACGATCGCAGCGTAAAGGAAATCCTCTCTGAGCCCACCAGGAGGAATCCACACACAAAGGTCAGCTCAAGCGTCTACCTGTCACCTGCAACAGGGGGAATAAAACCCTGAGTACTCAATTGTACTCAGCAAGACTTACCCGATAGGAGAAAAGAAAAGACTCCAAGGATATGCAAGACTATCTCGGTTTGTGGGTTGCATTTGTAAAGAAAGCATTACTAAGCGTGCATCCTTATATTCGATTTTTATTAAAAGCCGCATTGGTTCATTAACTAACCATTCTATGTAAGCACTGCTGCTACTTTCAAGCGGTGGTAAGCAATCGATTTCCTTTGTCCATCTTCCATCTTTCATCTTTCGGTTCTTACTACGATGCTAAACCAGACAAGCTGCATCGGATAGCCCCGCGATTCGCGAATCAATGCCCCCATTTGGGTACCCGAAAACACACGCCCGCTTGTACCCTGTGCACAAGCAGACCAACCCATCACTCTCTGTCCCGTGTGTCCAGTCCCCGTCCACACTGGGACTCCAAGCCCCCGCCCCTGAGTCCCGGACTCAGTGCGGTGCAAGGACCTCCTCCACCAAAATAAAACCCTGACAGTCGGTCCGGAAAGAGCCGGATCCACGACAAGAGAGCAACAAGTCTTCCAAGCGCCCATACACAAGTATGTGATCGGGATAATAAGTCTGTGACCTGCCTAGAGTCATATGCAACGATCGGTCCTTAATCGACCAGACAGGGAGAAACGGTGAAACCAAGCTATGACCCGCCTCCGCGGCGACACAACTTCTTACACCCACCAATACCCAAACCATATCCCTGCCCGGTCACCATTTTCCTTTCCACCATTTTCATATTTTCCAAGTGATAGTAATCCAATAATATATTTCCTATCTCTCGCGAGTGACAGGCAATCACTCGACTTCTACCGAAGTCCTGTAGCATAGCAATCTACACGATCCTGTCATACTAGTAAGACTCATAGGGTAAAGATATATATGCAAGTGGTTTCATTCAACTCCTTAAAACTTAATGCATAAATATAATTTAAACTGCAGAAAGTAGAGGTTATGCATCGGGGCTTGCCTGGGTAAGATATAATCAGAAGTTAGTATCTGCATCTTTAGATCATCCACCATCAACTGGATAGAAGGCCCATTGCATCATCTTCGGATTCTCAATCATCCTTCGATCGATCCGTTGATCCATCATCGTACCTATATGATATGCATGCGATGCAATGCAAAGATGTAATTAATCAACAGCAATCGTGACTCGTAAAATACAACGTACGCCTCTCGAGTTAACGGGCTAGTTCTACGACGACCGTACTTAGGCTACATGTACACGTTGTCAGATAAGGCGTTACTTCCCAACAATAATTTTAGTGATATAAACCAAAGTTGTTTCTTTATTTTATTCTATCGATTTAATCCTTATTCGGAAAAGGGCCTCATTATCCATCTAGCAAACCAATTATTCTGGAACTACAAAAACTACGGTGAGTACCTAATATTGCTAGGAACCTACTGTAAAAAATTTCAGATCCAATACTATTAACAATTTATCACAACAATCCCTATAAGCTTATATTTTACAATATTAAGTATCCCATTTTAATTATATAGATCCTAAAAATATCATCAAACTATGTGAACGAATTACACTAATAGGTAGGTTATGATTTTAGGGACTCAACAAAACTAGTTTCACTATTTTTAGACTCCTATACCATTTTATATCGATTTTACAAGTTTCAGCCATTTAAACAAAAACTTAGAAAAGAGATGGGCACTCGGGCCGGCCTCGTCCAGCGCGGCCCACGCGGGCAGCCAAGAGGCCCATGCACCCGCAGCCCATTCAGCCAAGCGGACGGCCCACCGGCAGGCAGTGGCCTAGGCGGGGCGCAGCGCTCACGGCCCAGTCACGCTCGCGGCCCAGCCAAGCCGGCAGTGGCCCAGGCATAAGAACAGCGGTAGCAGGCCGGCCCAGGCAGCTGATGGCGCGGCCCAGCAAGCTCAGTAGCCAGCGACAGGCCAGCCCAACGCCTAGCTTTGCCCAAACCGACCAGCAATTATGCAAAAACGTCCCTTCATTTACCTCTATTCCACTCAAGGTCCACAGGCACTATTTAGTTGAGTCATGTATTTCACAAATGAAACCCCGTATAATTATTTTCCTTGATTTCTCACCCTTTACCTTCCCCAGAAACAGAGAACGACGAACACCATGGCTGACGGCGGCGGCAAGGGCGTGGAGGAGCCGGGGAAGGCACGGCCGCGGCGGTCCCCTCGCCGGCGAGCTGCACGGGAAACCCGCGCGACCACGGAAACTCGGCGAGGAGAGGCGGAACGACGGCGCTGGAGGAGCGTTGAGGAGTCGCCGGTCCGGCGCGGAGTGTGAGCGGTCATGGCCTGCACGGGCGCTGGGGAACCGAGCGGCCACGGCACTGCAGCAGGCGTGCGGGGCGCTGTTGCTCGGCTGGTTGAGGCAGCAAGACTTGCGCGCGCATGGCCGGCGGAGCTCCGGGCGTGGGCGCTGTGGGCGCACGGGAGAGGCTGGCACCGGCGCGGACAACCAGCGAGGCACCGAGGCTCGATGCGGATGGAAACGCGGTGCGGGTGCGGCACTGGACCACGCAGCAGGGCTGCGGCTCGGACGCGTTGCGGCTGCCGTGCGCTGCGGCGGCGGAGGAAACAACCACGGCAGCGTGGAGGAGCGAGGAGGAGCAGGGAGGCACTGGTACTTGCGCGGAGGCAGGGAAAAGGAAGAGCTACGGCTGCGTTGCTTGCGTGCTCTGCTATAAAGGCTCTGAGCTACTTGTCCTTAGAAGGAAAAATGCAACCAAGACAAGCCAAGACAGACAGAGGGAGGCCCCGTCCTACCGCTTCTCTCTCCTCCGATCCGGCTTTCTACTTGCACGTGGATGCTTCTTTTTGTTTCTGCTTTGCTTGCGTGCTTTCCTGGTTGGAGATTCCCTACCACGTATTTTATCTCCTCTGATCGCTAGCTGTCCGTTGGACCTGCTGAGACTGGGAGGAGCAGGGAGCGGACGACGACATCTCGACAAGATCATAATTTTGATGGACAAGGGAGGCAGTGGCTACTGGGCGTAGCGTGGGCTTCAGCTGCGCGACTGCGCGCGCACAGAACGCGAAAAGACACGACGAGGACAGGGGGAAGGAACCACGGGCTCCAAAGAAAAATTCGAACCAGATCGCCAGCTTCGCAAGAAAAAGATGAGCAGGGAGTATTGACGTAAAAGGCAAGCAGAGTCCGAGAGAGAGAGCGAGCAAGCGAGGAGGCAGGACTGACTCGGCTTCACTCTGCCACGGCGCGACGTTAATAATTCGGATGACGGATTTATTCAGAGCAAGGGAGACGCACCACAGTACTCAACGTCCAGAACACAGTGCAGCAAGGATGACAGCGCTTTTAAATATAATCTCAGATGCTGACGCGAAAAGCTGGTTTATATTTATTTTATTTTAAGTTTTAACACGATTAACTTCCACCAATAATTATTTCACGCAAAAGTTCATACGTCGCACTAACCCATAGAGACAAAAATATTTAAGCGCTATTTAATTACTTTGCTCAATATAGTTTGATAAAAATGGTATTTTAACCCTAAGCGCAATATTTAAAATTTTTAACATTCGAGAAACTCGTTTCGGTAATTTTTCTTAGGCCTAAATCGCCGTGCTAAACGAGATCGTAACACCGGGGTGTTACAACGAGGTCTGATGCAATGACTTTTTTGAAAGAAAAGAAAGGAGGTACCCGTACGTTTATCAGCCCCCGAGTGAGATCCCACCCCTTTGCGGTTGCTGGGGTTGGATGTTACTGGAGACCAGAGCGAGGGAAGCGAACTTACGTTTGTATTTGCTCGTACCCCTTACTCGGGATTTTGGCGATCGCTTTGTGATCGAGCGTTTGATCTTGCCGCTGGCTTGGCCTTCCTCGAGCCCCCACACGTGGTGGGGATTCGGTCAAGGGCTGGTTTGTTTTGTGACTGTTGCTCCATCCGCGGTTCTTCGCAACTGGAGGGGTCGAGGCGATGTCGCTTGCCTTGGTGGCTCGAGCGACGTGCCTGATGAGCCTGCTAACGGGGATGTTCGAACAGAATCCAATTCCATGGCTTTGTGATAGGGTCAACAAAGCCCTCGGATGGCGTTTCATTACTCCTCGCCCTGCCTTCCAACAGATTCCCCCTAAATGGGGACTCTATGGGCTCGGCAAGAGGGTGGATTGAACTTAGAATGTTGAGATGACCCTATCCGCCTTAATGCGGGTTGGGCGAAGGCCGCTGAGGCTCATCTGTGTTTTCTCCCCTGGCTTTTGTTTGACGTGAGGCGGCCTTGGACCCTTTGTGGGTCAGCCTTTGAACCTCGGTCTTTTGATCTTGGATTGAGCGGCTCGAGCCCTCGATCCCTGTTAGGGTCTGATAGGGGTTGGCCGTGTTTCGCGTGTTACCCCATGTTCGGTTTTTCATAACCGGAGGGGCTGAGTTGACGACACTTGCCTCGATGGCTCGAGTGTCGCGCTCAATGAGCTCGCTAACGGGTACGTTCGTGTGGAATCCGTGTCCATCATTTGCTGATGGGGTCGGCAAAGCCCTCAGGTGGCACTCCACTACTTCGTAACCTGCCTCCCGGTAGATGCCCGAGCCGTTCGATAGGCTCAGGTGGCCCGCTGGCCTCTCCTCGGCGGAAACTTTGTGGCTTTGGCTCGGGGTTAGAATCGAACGAGAAGGGTCGAGATGTCCCTGTCCGCTTTTGAGCAGGGTCTGGCAAGGCCGCTGGGGCTCATCTCAGTTTTTCTCCCATGGCTCCGTCCGATGCGAGGCGTCCTCGAGCCCTTCGTAGGCCGGCCTTCAAACCTCGGTCTGTTGCCGCTCATATCGAATGAGGCGACTTCCGTTTCGTGATGCGACACGAAGCGTTGGGAAGATGGCGATTTGCATATGCAATGTTTGAATGTATAATTTAATCAAAATAAAGGCGGGGGTCAGTAACGTTACCTTGTTGGTACGAGCGATGGGAAGCTCTCACCAGATATGCCCGTGCGGGGTTCGAGTCCGATTTTTGCGGTGGGGTCGGCGCAATCTGCACGAGCATTGCAAGTTTTGATTCTATATCTCGATGGCGATCCGAGCCGTTCGATTGATTTGGGCGACCTAACAGCTTCTCCTTGGAGGAGATTCTGTAGGCGAGCCCCTCCGAGCCCTTCTTGAGAAGGTAGAGAGTTTTTCGTCCCCACCTTTCGCCTTTCCTTGGCCGCTGCGCCTCTTCCTTAAATAGGGAGGGGGAGGGGAGTTCTCGTCCCACTTCTTAGCCTGCCTCTGAGCCGCTACCTCTTCTTCTCCCTTTCCACCGAATGCGTCCGTGCGTCGCGACGGTTCCTGAGTGAGGGAGGGTAATGTCAGAGAGAGAGAAACTCACTGATCCGCTCGTGAATCCGGAGCATGATGTCGAGCTGGAGGTCATCCAACGTAGATGAGATGGTGAGGGCTGGCTTTGCTGAGAAGGGGTCGCTGCCGTCGAAGGACAAGGGGCACTAGAGGGTGCCGAGCGTTGTTGGCCTCGCCGTCGTTCGTTGTGGCCTTCCTTTGGTGGCAGGCGGCCCCTGTTCAGACGCCGTTGTCAGGGTTGCGACTGATGACGATGGCGTAGTCCCCGGATGCCCTGGCGGAGGGGCACCACAGTCGCCGGTGTGGTGCTCGACGTTGTAGATGACGGCGCCTCCGAGGATCCTGCGGAGCGGTGGGACGTCGCCGATGGAGGGCGTGGCGCGGTGGCCGTAGTAGATGAACTGGCCCGTGTACATGCCCGGACATTGCCGACGGAGAGCATGGTGCGACGGCCGTAGTAGTACTCATAGAAAAGCTAGGTAGAGACTGTGATTGAATAAGTTTGTGGGGGAGCCCCCGACTGAACAGTCCTTTGAATTTAAGAGTATATTAGCCCTTTTTGTGATGAAATCACTTTGTAAGTGGTGGATCTGTGCAAAAATGAACAAATTTTCATCTTTTGTTACGGCAAACAGCTTTTCAGCTTCCTCTTTTTGTAGAAGAGGTTTCGATGCCCTCCGACCCTTCCCATGGCCCAGGTTGTAAAGGCTAGGAGTGCGGGTGAAACAGCTCTGATCACGCTGGTGAGCAAGGAGGCCGTAGCCGCTGGGGCGTGGGTTTCCCACAGTCCTACCAGTTATACTCAGACTTTATTCCCGAAATTCTAGCCCTTAGAACTTGTTTACGAGAAGAACGGAAAACTTTAGAGAATGTTTGCAAAGATAACATAGGAAGTGTTCACAAGATAAACGTACTTGTATCATTTGTATTAGCCCCTGAGTGAGGTCTGACCCCTCGCGATTTGCAGGGGTCGGATGTCACTAAAGATCGGGATTTGTAAAGACAAAAACTGATAAGGAGAAGTATGCATTTATTTAAGGGTAAAAATGACGTAGCTGTTCGATGTTCCAGGCGTTGGTGAAGACCTCGCCATTGACGGTTTTTAGCTTGTAGGCGCTGGCGGAGTACTTCCGCGACGACGTACGGCCTCTCCCAGGGTGGGGAGAGCTTGTGGTGGTCCTTGTTGCTCTGTATGAGGCGGAGAACAAGGTCCCCAACGTTGAAGGCTCGGTCCCGCACCCGTCGGCCGTGGTACCGTGTAACGCTTTCCGGTACTTGGTCGAAGCCGAACGCGATGTCGCGGGTACTTCTAGTTGGTCCATGGCAGGAGGGGATGTCGCGGGCTTTGTCGTATCTCGATTTGGTCCATGGCATCTTGGTGGGATGCCTCGTAACCATACACCATGAAGAAAGTTAGCGTGGCAGATGCTCGATTCTTGGTGCTCCATAGTCGAGATCCGCGTTGTTGAAGAAGGTTTGAGGCCTCGCATAACCATACACCATGAAGAAAGGTGTGTAGACTCAATCGATGATGGAGTTCATCACGTAATCGAATGAATTTCTTGCCGATGGATGATGTCAAGATGATGGAATGTCGAGAAGAACAAAGATAGCTTGCTCGGATTTGATTGCGGAGACCGGCCGAGCTTCGATCCATTTCGTGATTTTGTTAATCATGACAAGTAAGTGGGTGAAGCCCCCGGGCGCCTTTTTGAGAGGCCCAACCAGATCGTGCCCCCAGACCGCGAAGGGCCACGTGATGCGGATCATCTGGAGTGCCTGGGGCGGGAGGTGAGTCTGCCGAGCGTAGTATTGGCACCCTTCGCAGGTGCGTACGATTTGCTCGGCATCGGTCACTGCAGTGGGCCAGTAGAAGCCCTGTCGGAATGTGTTTCCAACCAGGGTTCTAGGTGCGGCGTGGTGGCCACAGACCCCGCCATGGATATCGCTCATCAAAAGCTTCCCCTGATCGACAGGGATGCAGAGCTATAGGATTCCGGTGTGGCTTTGTTTGTAGAGCTCGCCTTCTACAAGAACGAAGGATTCGGCGCGATGTGCGAGCCGTTGGGCTTCCGTCTTGTCCACCGGTAGTGCGTCACGGAGGAGGTAGTCGAGGTAGAGCGTTCTCCAGTCGTCTAGAGGATCGGACTCTGTTGCTGGATCCTATTCAAGTTCCATGACCTCGGGGTCGGGCAGGGCCGTCGGTCGGTCAGCCTTCAGTGCCAGATTAGACAGGTCGTCGTCAGCCAGTTCCGATCCCTCGTAGCGCACCGAGGGCTTGTGTTGATCGCTGGCGAAGACACCCGTCGGCACCGGCTCTCGGCCAGATGCTGCTTTTACAAGCGCGTCGGCCGCCTCGTTGAGGTGTCTTGGGATGTGGTTGAGCTCGAGGC